AGACCATCTGTTGGGCCGTCCTCTGCATGTACATTTGCTCCATCCGTTATTAGACGAGGTAATGGGTCACGTAGGAATAATATTTGTGGACGAATATGTGCTAAATGCTCCTATGCCCACAACTGTATACATACATGAAACAGTTGTAATGGAACACGTTTGGTTGACATTACATTAAACTTAAAATAACAATTGTACGTACATGAAAGAGAAGACTAAAGTATACCTGCAGTGGAACAAGCAAATCGCCGATATCCTTAGCATTGCATCTAGTAGCGACACACATGTTACGGTATAGCCAGACCACTGCTGCGCTGCCCCAGCTGTATTGACCGATAGTAGTAAGATCGACAATCAATGGAAGGTACATCAACTTCACCTTGCTAGATGACTTGTCTATGAATAGATATGAACTGCTCAATCGCATGATGTATGCTCTGGCATAACATGCTATGAAATCGTTTTCAGTATCTACAAGGACACCTCGATCCAAATGACCGCACAATGCACTAAACCTGAGAAAAGACCCGTCTATAACCCCCTCAGCAGGTATAAACCCAAACAACTACTGGCAAAATGATTCCCAAGTCGTGCCATCAGGACAACTATCCCTCCCATACACTGTCATACCATTGATCGGTAGGTCTATATGCACTTCAACATTCTGAAGGGTGATAGTCGCCTCACCCATAGGAAGATGGAATGTGTGTATCTCAACACGCGATCTCTCAACTACTGTTGTGATGAAACCCAAGTCCAACTGCTTAGACGCAACCTTGTGCGCCCCATAAAAACCAGCAATAACCAACTAACGAAGAACACATTCATCCGTGACATGTAATTATCATGTTGTACGCTCATTGCGCCTGCAGTGCAAATGAGTGGGATCTATGCCCTGCCATATGTAGTTTGTCCGATGCTCTGCTTATAATGAAAGAACAAAGTGGTCATGTGGACCAAGATGTACTAAATGTCTACCATCAGTGTCCATAGCCAGAACAAAAAATCCGTAAAAACCAAATACAATTATGAATTATAATGAAAATATCTGCAATCATATAGTAATAAAGGTAATATTTCCAACATCCAAGATAACATAATGATTTCATTTCAACAAACATGTACTTATAAGCTTGTGTACCTACCAAATATTACCACATAACCACATTGTAAGGTCCAATACACACTTTAGTACAACATATGACAACTTAACAAGCTCACAAAATAACTTGGGACTACCTAGTGAAGGAATGATGGAGCTCACGTGTTTATGGATGAACACTTCCGACGATTGTGACCNTAGAGTTATACTTCTTGATGACACCCAAAAACTTAGGCAACATGTCATATAAAGAGTTCCAATCACCGAAAAATCTTAGCAATGGTCTTGTTCCTCTCAATCCATGCTTTCTTTTAGGAAAAATCTTACTTAATTCGTTTGTGGTGTATCACCAACAAGTTCTTGTATATTATGACATATAAAGTTAGAGTCTAACTGCTAGTGGTTACAATTCGAGGGTAGAAGTAGGTATGAGGTCCATCATATTTCGTAATTTGAAATATTTTGATTTTTTTTCTTAAAACAAGCACGTAGTCTCCACATGCAGTTAGGCTACATGTACATGTTACACTATACAACCCACACCGTTGTGTTCGTCTTGATCACGACATAATTCTGATTCAGTTTGATGGAATACCATTTAACTGCCCTAGTCAATGAAGCTTTATCCTTAAAAATCATGCCCTTCGCCAACTCCATCTTCATCGAATCCCACAAATTCAATTCAGAAGATAGTACTAAGTTATCTACTTCAAAATGCTAACAGAATGCTGACCAAATTTAGTGCTTGCAAAGGAGGTGGAGTAAGGCATATGCATCTAAACCTCTACACCAACCTCAATGTCTTCACCATTCCCATCTTCGTTATCCAGCTCAACAATCATTACTTCCTCAAACTCTTCCTCTTCTTCATCATCATCGAAGATATCTGTATGATCATTTGCACACATTTCTTCATATTCCTAATATTCTCGGATTGGGCTTTGTTGCATTATTAGTTGATGGACATCATCTTGTTTACCCAACTCAATTTTCATTTCACCCATTTGAAAATTCTGACTTAGTGAATTATTGGTTGAGTACTCACCATATATTACAGAGCCAGTTCTTTGGTGGGTATACGAGTATTGCCTAGACTCATTCATTACCTGCATTCCCATGGTAATGGAACATTCACTTGTCAACTCGAAAGTTGAAAATGTCGATGTACCTATCTCTTGCCTAAACAACTCAATGTAAGACATGGTAGTGGTGGTTAGGCACCATTCGGTCTAACTACAACCTATGCCATCATTAATGTCCTCCGTCTCCACGTACAAAATAACACTAGCAATTCTGGGGTTGTTAAGTACTACATTAACCAAATAAGTCACAAGTTAATAATTCACAATTTTAAACCGATGTATATATATTCATGTTTGGTCCTGCTCCAAGTGTAAATGGATATCTACATGTCAACTTCAACTTGTTATGCGCCTTGTCCAACTCCATTACAGCATAAATTTTATTCAACAACTTCGATAGTTTTGTGCCACTATTAATAACAATTCCATCTTTGGGAGGACAATTGTATGATAAACCTTTCGATGCATATTCCATGTGTCCATCCCAATACAACAAAATGGTAACTTATTTTCCTATCATTTCAAACAGTTTTCGTCATGGAATAAATACTGAATTCACAAGAACCTGGGGATGGATATAAATGGTTAATACTTGAGGAAAAACAGATCTATACTTAATCAAAGTCCCATGTGAATTATCGCATGCGACCTAGAATAATTGATAAAATAAGAAACCTACAAGATTAAAGTGTACATGTAGGAAACTAAGAAAAAATGGAGATCCAAACATTATATGGAAGTTTTAAAAAATAATCCCCAAAAGAGGGTATCTCTTAACATATTATCAGGAATTCAATCACAAGTCCAACATGTTATCAAGAAGACAAACAATGTAACCAATTTTTTGGCTAAGAATTAGAAATTGAATTACATTTATAACTCTATCGCAATTATCAAGACTATCCAACTCAAGGATGAGAATACTTGAGTAACTCTATCGCATTAATCAACATGCTTATTTTGAGGCAAATGTGTTCCTTTATGACTAAGAGACATAACTACACTGCTTCGCTTGATATTGAGAGAGTTATGGAATATAGTTCATATGAATTATTATATTCTTTTAAATTAAAATTTCAATTTCATACATATGTTGAATTAAAAAGGACTTAATGAGGAAGGAATGAATGAATACTTAACAGAAGTAAGATTGAAACAAATAAAGTTAACACAAAACAATGCACAAGCTCTCAAACAATTTATGTAAAGTTTAGGTTACGCAATTTTTATTTAAAGGTAATCTTTATTATTATTATATTTTTTAAAATTAATAATTTAACTTCGTACAAAAGTTGAATTACAACTTGAATGAGTTATTAACAGAAGTTGAAAAACACATAAAAGGTTTTGATTAATTACCAACTAATAAATTTTTCAAGCAACAAACAAAGCATTAGAAATAGATGAGTTAAGAATAAAATTATTTTTTTGATTAATTATCTAAATATAAATTTATTATATCATTTTTTACAAAAAAAATATAAACGCATTATTTTTTGATTCAATTATCTCAAGTAAGGGTTATCGCTAGATAATTATGCACACGTAAATACATAATATAAGTGATTATTAGATTAAATTACATTTAAATTTAGAATTACCATAGAATTAGAACTAATACAACAATTAGAATTAAATTTCAATGTAGAATATCATCAAACTTGAAATAACGTTATAGTTACAACTAACACAACAATTAATTTACAACTAAAACAACAATTAAATACACAAATCTAAGTGATTATGAGATTAAATTAAATTTAAAATTTAAATTTAGAATTAACATAGAATTAGAACTAATAAAACAATTAGAATTAAATTTAAATTTAGTCTATCATCAAACTTGAAATAATATTACAATTATACCTAATACAACAATTAATTTACAACAAAAAACAACAACTAAGCACACAAATCTAAGTGATTATTACATTAAATTAAATTTAAATTTAGAATTAACATAGAATAAGAACTAGTAAAATAATTATAATTAAATTTAATTTTAATTTATCATCACAAATTTAAATAACATTACAATTATACCTAATGCAACGATTAATTTAAAACAAAAATAACAACTAAATACACAAATTACTACAGTAATAGATAGAGAGAGTGAGAGACATACAGTCAGATGGTGGTGCTCAATGTTGCTGTGCCGGATGGAAGTATTGGAAGAACAGCAGCTCCGATGGTATGGATTCCGCGGATCGGGGCTTTTAAGTTGAAGGGTGGTGGAGGTGGGTTTCAGCTGGTGGTGGAGGGGATTTCTGATGGTGCTGGTGGTGGAGATTTCACCTAGGGGTGGTGGACTTGGATGCAGATTTTGGTGGAGGTGGGTTACAAATTCAAGGTTGGTGGAGAAAGGCTTTAGATGCTGGTGGAGATTTCGCCGGGCGGTGGTCTGATTTCTGAAGGTGGTGGTGCTGGTGGTGGAGATTTGTCGCCAGAAGGAAGGTGTTGGGAATTTGATTTTAAGGCTCATACATAATTGAGGGGGAAGAAGGAAAATAAGAGAAAAGGAAAAAAGAGAAAAAGAATTCGCATATAATGTTAAAAATGTCGGTACAAGTGATGTTTTCAGCGAAAACGCCGCTCCAACTAACGATTTAAGGTGTTTTATATGTCCACCATTACAAGCAAAAACATTATTTCGTATAACGTTTTTACGTTAAAACTATTATTCTCCGACTAATGTTTTAAGGTGATTTATATGTCCAATATTACAAGCAAAAAAATTATTTCGTCTGACGTTTTTATGCTAAAAATATTATTCTAGACCATGTTTTAAGCTTAGAAACGTCCTAATGTTGTTTTTAAAAGGGCCGGAGATTGAAAAATATTTTGAAATTAACTCTCTCTTGGATACAATTTTGTAAAACCTCTTGGGTTTGGGTAAAACCTCCTGGCATTCCGGTATCATCTTTCTTGGCTTTGCTCTATTTATTTTGCAACGAGGGTTTAGCTTTCAGGTTAACTCAAATAGTTCTTTCCACTGTTCTGTAATCCAACCGTTTACTTCTAGCCAACGGTCGATATCTTGATATCCTGTCCTTAGTTCCTTTTATTTTAGCATTACATACACCCAGGCCCCAGCCCATGTTTGCTGACTATCTAAGGCGGCCAGCAAATGCTGCTCTTCAGCCTCGTTTCACAAAAACAACATATTTTAGCGAACGCGTATGTTCTAATTGAAAAGGTTGGATGCTGTTGAAAGACAAGTTTTACCGCTGGCGTAGTAAAATAGTAGTTTACAGTTCTTACCCATGAATGAAGGGATTGTACTCGCTCATTGAAAACTCAGTTGTTTCTTTATCCAAGATTGTGATAATCCATTGTCAGGCAATAAAGTTAGGGACGATTGGTGATATTTACACTGCCAATAATATTATAAGTGGGTACACAAAATGCAGAGACTTAGGTATTGCTGTCAAGTTGTTCGACGAAATGCCTCACCGAGACAATGTTTCTTGGAACTCGATGATCGCTGGGTATGTAAATTGTGGGAACTTCGATTGCGCTTGGGAGTGCTTAAAATTCATGAAAAGGTGTGGGTTTCAAGTTGATGGGTACACTTTTGGGAGTATTCTTAAGGGGGTTGCTTTGAACGGTTGTCTCTTTTTTGGGCAACAAGTACACTCGGACATTGTCAAGACAGGCTTTGAGGGAAATATTTACGCAGGAAGTGCTCTCTTGGATATGTACGCGAAGTGTAATAGAGTTGAGGATGCACATATTGTGTTTCAGTTCATGCCGGGACGTAATTCTGTGTCATGGAATGCACTGATTGCAGGTTATGCAGAAATGGGCTGTCTCAAAAATTGTACTCAGTTGCTGAAATGTATGGATTGGGATGGTGTCAATCTTGATGATGGCACATTTGCACCAGTTTTGACATTGCTTGAAGACCCTGAGTTTTACGAATTTACAATGCAGCTCCACGGTAAAACTATAAAACACGGGTTGGCTTCTAATACTACTGTATGTAATGCTACCATTACTGCATACTCGGACTGTGGGTCCATTGAAGATTCAGTGAGAGTTTTTGATAGTGCCGGTGGTTCCCAAGATATAGTCACGTGGAATTCAATGCTAGCAGCTTACTTATCACATGATCAAAGAGACCTTGCATTTGGACTGTTCTTAGAGGTGGAAAGGCTTGAATTTGAACCTGACATCTATACATATACTAGCATCATAAGTGCTTGTTTTGATGAACCACTTCAAAGCCAAGGGAAATCTTTACATGCTTTGGTAATTAAAAGGGGATTGGAACAGCTAACACCAATCTCTAATTCATTGATAACCATGTATCTCAAATCAAATTGCAACAGTGTAGAAGATGTAATAAAAGTGTTTGGGTCAATGGATGTGAAGGACTCTGTTTCATGGAATTCAATCTTGACAGGATTCTCACAAAAGGGGTGGAGTGAAACTACTTTGAATCTCTTTCGACAAATGCGACGTGAGTCTGTAGACATTGATCACTATGCCTATTCTGCTGTCCTTAGGTCTTGCTCAGATTTAGCGACTCTCCAATTGGGTCAACAGGCTCATGTCTTGGCTCTAGAATCAGGCTTTGACTCAAATGACTATGTAACCAGCTCTTTGATATTTATGTATTCAAAGTGCGGTATTATCGAAGATGCTAGGAAGTCCTTTGAAGCAACTCCCAAAGACTGTTCAATCACTTGGAACTCAATCATTTTTGGGTATGCACAACATGGGGAAGGTAAAGTTGCACTTGACTTGTTCTTCCTGATGCAATCGGAAAAGGTAAATCTAGATCACATCACTTTTGTGGCAGTTCTAACTGCATGTAGCCACATTGGTTTGGTAGAAGAAGGTTGCAATTTTCTGAAATCTATGGAAGCTGAACATGGAATTTCCCCTAGAATGGAACATTATGCATGTGGGATTGATCTACTTGGGCGGGCTGGGCGTCTAGAGGAGGCAAAAGCCCTGATCAAAGAAATGCCATTTGAACCTGATGCAATGGTGTTGAAAACTCTGTTGGGGGCCTGTAGAAACTGTGGTGATCTCGAATTGGCCACCCAGGTGGCAACCCGTTTGCTGGAATTAGAACCTGGTGAGCACTGCACTTACGTGCTTCTCTCTGACATGTATGGATATCTTAAAAAGTGGGATGAGAAAGCTACTGTAAAGAGATTGATGAGGGAGAGGGGGGTCAAGAAGGTTCCTGGTTGGAGTTGGATAGAAATTCAGAATGAGGTGCACGCTTTCAATGCAGAAGATCATTCCCACTTTCATTGCCTAGAAATATACCGGATATTGGGTGAATTGATGTCAGAAATAAAAAAATTGAATAATGCTACTCATTTGGATGCTCTCGATTGTGGCGATTAATATAGTGATTTAAAATGCTGATGGTCCAACCTAAATCTCAGGAGCTATGGAGTTAGATTGATGTTTGTTAACTGTGAGAAAACTCTCTTCAAAAGCAGAGTGGATGTAAGAAAAGTTAAGCACAAATTGGAAATTTTTTTGCGCATAAGGGTGCTCCAATCAGGGTCATCTCGAGACTGGCAGATATCAGATAACACCTATCGGAAGAACTGACCGAGGTAATCATGAATTTACCAAATTAAATGTTTTGGATCATGTTTATTGATATTGTGTAAAATGTTGAGGCCCACTTCAATCCCGGTAAAACCTGCTTCTCACAATACCCTTGACATCCTCAATATTAATTTGTATATCATACCATAGCGCTTGCCCTCGATACCAAGCCCTATGAGATTGTTTGAGCCCATAAGTTGCTTTCTTCAACCTTCATACCTGACGCGAGTCCCTTGGAGCTATATACACAGGAGGTTGCTCCATCTACCATTGATTCTAAAGATCACCATGAAGGAGAGCATTTTTAATTGTTGGCTAAAAAACACAACCCTCCTACTTTATCGGGGTTGGACCAGCTGTGCACGAGTACAGGCGAAGTTAATGGCTATCTAATAGAGGGTCAATTATTATTCTACATAGCATGAACCATGGGTGTGTCCACACGGGCATGGGAGAATTGGATTTGGATTAGAACCACTTAAATTGAACAGAATTTCATGATGAATGGTTTTATCTCTTTTATCTATATCTATATTTATATCTATACTGTTAATAAAAGGAAGTTTAGTGAAGATCTTTTGAATTTCCAATTTACCTATAAACAATTTTTTAAAGTCGTGTGTAATATTGTATAAAGTCTATTTTACCCTCTATCCTTCATTCATTGACCATCCGGATCTACTTTAAGAGTTCAATCGGGAACCTAGATCACATAATTCGTGCATCTACCTCGGCGGATTTGCGTCCAAATGCAAATCAGCAAATTTAGAGCGAATTCGTGGTGAACCCAAGAATTCAAAAAATTGAATTTGGGATCTCATAATTATAATTCGCGGATTGAGATACTTAAAAAAGTGAAAATTGGGGCCGAGTCCTCCTAGATGGACTTATAATGACTTGAATCCGGCAAAGAAACTTATTTGGGGGTAAATCCATTTTTAAACTTATTTGTAAGTATTTAAGTCTAATTTTTTTTTTTAATCTCAAAAATACCCCTAACGATGTTAGTTTGTTCAATTATGGAAAACCACAAACGCTAGTTCATTAAGATATATATGGAAACCGTTGATTGAATATTCTGATGCTTGATTTACGACAAAATTGTTGGTCTGTTAATTCAAATTCAAATTAGAAGATTTCCTTAACAATTTAAATTTAAATTCTTAAAGAATTTTCGCTCTGTTATACATTTGAATAACATGCTTTTTGTGTTTGGTAGGGGTTTTGAAGGTAATTGAAGTAGTAATCGGAGTTCGAAATTGTTTGTAATTCGAGTTCGACTTACAGGTTGTTGGAGTTCGGGCTTTTCTTGATTTCGTATGCTGGAACAATCAGATCTATTGAGACATTCATTGTAATTGGTTGTTTTATCTACTACAAAACAACAGTGCTATTTGCTTGCTTGGATTCACCCTAATCTCTAAACATGATTCTAGTAGTGTGTATATGACTTATATAAGTAGGTGAGTGTCACTCTCCCTCAGGTATGATGCTAGAAATGGGGCAAATCATGTGTGCGAATGAAAATGTGTGTGAGTGTGTAGAAGTGCTCCCCAAGCGAAGAGAGGCTTGCAATGTTGTGTTTTACTTGGAATTGAATATTTTAAGGTCTTCTCTTCAGGGAAGGAATGTCGAATTGTAGTGAAGGGTGATTTATAAAGAAATGAAAAGTGTAAAATCTTGTGAGTTTTGTGTTTTGGTGAGTGAAGTTTTCATAAAATGCAAGAAAATAAGATTGAATAATCCAAAGAGGTCATTCTAATGAGAATGCCAAATCAACTAAATTTATTCAACCAATAGTGTTTCGGTGTTTGATTGATTCGTAGGAAGTGAGGGACCAATGTGGAGGTGTAGGCTCAAGCATAACCCGTGACAAGTCTACTGTGTATCATAAACTCACAACCATGTCGACACTTAACCTAGTCAAATCAAACACTTTAGACTCGAGGAAGAATGGAGGAGAGTTGATTTAGCATACCTAATAGAAAATTTTCCTTGGATTAGCCAACTAAAAGTTTAGTTACCCAAGAGTCTATAACTCATACTTTTCACAATTAAAATTAAATCAATATTTCTGTGTATTGCTACGATACTTCCTTTTTCTGATTACGACAAGAGTAACACACGTTAGTTGTAACATTATCTATATATTTTTATAAAAACTTGTGTGTGTGTGTGTGTATTGATTTCTTTTGTTTAAAAAATCACTCAAGAAATATTACCATCTTTCATGGTAGTCTTGATGTCAATCATTTCCTGGCATACACTTAGCACAAAATACACATACGTTATAGTGATTGTTCCCTCAATAATTACATGTGATTAGAATATTGTTAACAAAACAAATAATATCACATGTAATATATCTTAAAAACGGGTATTCGAATAAAATTGAAATTTGACATAATCTTATGACTGGATATCAACACTATATCAAACATATTAACTTTCTCCTTTTATTAGGTAGAATTAATATAGATGCATGATTTCTGGAATCAAATAGGACTTTCTTTGGGTTGTAATGTGGTCATATGTTTAGGGTTTAAGAAACAACGTTTATAGGATTCAAAAGCTACTATTTATATTATGGCACACCTTTTTCCAACCTCGGATATTTATTATTTCCATTTTTCACTTTCTTGGCTCGTTTCTTTCTATTTTTTGATCTTCCATGGGTTTTTCTTTGAATGGCCAATACCCCTTTTTTTTTTAAAAAAAAAAAAAAATAGGGTGCAAGAAAATTATGTAGCATAGGTAGGGTTAATATATTTTCATTTGGCTCAGGGTATTTTTCGGGTTTCATGAAAAGAATTTATATATTTTTTTGCCAGGGTCCATCATGGTTGACTAAGGATATAATTTTGTAAAAGAAATAGTCAAGACTCAAGATTTAATCACAAATGACCTAAGATCATTTTTCAGAAATTATTCATCTGTATCATTCCTATGTAAAATAATTTCAAGGATAATGCTAATAATATAATCTAACAAGTGCTAATCAAGACAAAATTAATGAGATTATTCAAAGAAAGTTTACCATAGAATCGAAGATGTTTATTTGAGTAGATGTAAAATATCTCTCCAAGGAAGATTGACTCCAAATTCGTCAATTGGTTATACATCTCCACTAACTATGCAAAGATTGTAATATTTGACAAGGTTTCTGAAATAAAGAAATCTAATTGTGCTTATAAGAATAAGTTTGAATAAAAATATTAAGATAATATACAACTAAAGTATGAAAATCCTGTGTGATCAGTTTAAGGCTATTTTCACAAGACATTAGAATATTAACCTAATTCAATTATAAATTATATGAAATAACTCTTCTAACTTAATAAACATCAGGTTCAACATAAGCAAGTTTAAAATCAAAACAGGTTCAAAAAGTAAATTAAAGTTTAAGTGCATAATGTAAAAGATAAGCGAAAGATAGCAAATTGTTTTGTAGAATCTCCAGTTCTTTTAGGACATAGAATATCCTCCTCCAAAATGATCTCTAAATAACTTCAAAAGCTCAGCTTCATTCTGCTCATTTTCATCCATGCATTTGTTGATGTCAGTATCAAGTTGTGTAACAGTATTTTCTAGTTGAGCGGCAATAGTCTTCAAGCCTAGCAAAATCTGCCTATCGGTTCTGTCATCTATTAGTATGTATGGTTGATCCTCTTATGACTGTTGTTGTTCTAGTGGGATAAATTCTTCAGGGCCTAGGCCTTGGAATGACTCTTCTTGTGGAGGAGGTGCTTTAGGTTGCTCTTCTGATTGTCATCCATGACTTTTTTTTAATGAAGTTTTATCCAGTGCTCCAAAATGGTTCACTGTTTTCCATATCGGATTAATGATTACGCCTTCATTCCTACATAGCTGAGAAACTAATATAGCATATGGAAGTGATGGTTTCTTTTTATTTACAACAAGTAACATTTGATCTATGATTAAGTTCGGTAGGTTAATTGTGTCCCATTCCAAATACATAGAAGCAATACGCTTGCTCAATGTAAATTTGATTCTTTCGGGCTTGAGGTAGCAAACTGTTCACAATAATTAAATTTAGAATATAGTATTTGTCTGTTAAATCCTCTTGCTTTATATATTTGTTTGGTCTACCCCAACCAAATTTTGGGTTACCTGTCACTTCTGTTCCTATAACATTCAAATCAGGTAATCAGGTGTACGGATATTGGGGATTTTCTGGTCTCTGCATGGGTTGAAAGAAATCGACTATAGTAGTTGATGTAACTTGAAAAACACTACCTCGTATGAACACACACAATTGCCTTTTCCCAATTATCTCAGCATTACTATAAAATTCCCGAACTAAACAGTCATAGGCAGGAACAAGAAGTCTAACATAATGTAACCATCCTCTTGCATTAAGAATTTGTTTGATTCCTATGTTCTCAAAATCTTCAAAAATAACTGGTCTTTCAGAAATAATAATTTTAGTCAGAAAATTAGCATCATACTAGTCCTGTTGTTCAAAATTTTCAAACATCACCTCATTGAAGGTATTCTCCGGGTAAGGTTGTTGTGGAGGTTCTTGAGGTTTCGGAGATTGATTCCTTCGTGCATGACTTGAAAATCCATTTGTTCTTCGTCTCGAATTCATCTTTTTCTTGATTTTTTTTTCTCAAATACTCCGTTTCAATTAATTTCAGTCGGTAGATATCTTCAAAATGGTATGGGTAAGCTAATAATCGGAGGAGGTTTGAAAAAAAATGGTTGAGTGTAGCAGATTTGAGGGCTATTCTTTGGAAACTTTCGGCTTTTTTGAATTTTTCTTGCGAGGGAATGAGAACTGATCGGTTTTTTGCATGGAAGAGATATATATAGGGGTACTGCCGTCTGGATGCTAGTCTCACCTTCTGGATGGTGCTATCTGACTGGTTTTTGGTTTGCAACTGCAGACTGCTTCTCTGATTTTTTGCATTCTTGCTCTTTCTCCGGTAAATTCTTGCAGTTTACAATATTAAATACCACTTTATATATTCTGCAAAACTTTTCTAACCACTCTTTTTCTTTCAAAAGAATTGGGTTTATTTTTGTTATTTATTATTTACTGATTTTTCTATTTATTCTATAGTTATTTACATTTATTTAAAAGTATGTACAATCATGTACATTTATTTACAATTATGGACAATTCTTCCAAAATTTATATATTATTTTGATTATATCTAATTAGCATCAGAACTGTCTGGATCAATAATACTAGTGACACGGTTAACTTCACTTCTCACGTATTTTGTTAACATTGGGGTAGAATAGGATGGCGTCTCAAGATAATCCTTACTTTGCCCATACCTAATCCACCGTAAACGNCATATCGGATTAATGATTACGCCTTCATTCCTACATAGCTGAGAAACTAATATAGCATATGGAAGTGATGGTTTCTTTTTATTTACAACAAGTAACATTTGATCTATGATTAAGTTTGGTAGGTTAATTGTGTCCCATTCCAAATACATAGAAGCAATACGCTTGCTCAATGTAAATTTGATTCTTTCGGGCTTGAGGTAGCAAACTGTTCACAATAATTAAATTTAGAATATAGTATTTGTCTGTTAAATCCTCTTGCTTTATATATTTGTTTGGTCTACCCCAACCAAATTTTGGGTTACCTGTCACTTCTGTTCCTATAACATTCAAATCAGGTAATCGGGTGTACGGATATTGGGGATTTTCTGGTCTCTGCATGGGTTGAAAGAAATCGACTATAGTAGTTAATGTAACTTGAAAAACACTACCTCGTATGAACACACACAATTGCCTTTTCCCAATTATCTCAGCATTACTATAAAATTCCCAAACTAAACAGTCATAGGCAGGAACAAGAAGTCTAACATAATGTAACCATCCTCTTGCATTAAGAATTTGTTTGATTCCTATGTTCTCAAAATCTTCAAAAATAACTGGTCTTTCAGAAATAATAATTTTAGTCAGAAAATTAGCATCATACTAGTCCTGTTGTTCAAAATTTTCAAACATCACCTCATTGAAGGTATTCTTCGGGTAAGGTTGTTGTGGAGGTTCTTGAGGTTTCGGAGATTGATTCCTTCGTGCATGACTTGAAAATCCATTTGTTCTTCGTCTCGAATTCATCTTTTTCTTGATTTTTTTTTCTCAAATACTCCGTTTCAATTAATTTCAGTCGGTAGATATCTTCAAAATGGTATGGGTAAGCTAATAATCGAAGGAGGTTTGAAAAAAAATGGTTGAGTGTAGCAGATTTGAGGGCTATTCTTTGGAAACTTTTGGCTTTTTTGAATTTTTCTTGCGAGGGAATGAGAACTGATCGGTTTTTTGCATGGAAGAGA